TAAATTGTTGAAAATTATAATGATCGTTGAAACACGTGAATCTTATTTGGCCAGGAATCGAGCCGAGACCAAATTCAATTCTGGCGCCTCGCTTTTGATGATTTATGCAATGAGGGCGTTTCTAACACGTACAACCCCAAAAAAGAAAGAGAGAAAGTACAGAAAAAAAAAAAAAGAAAAAAGTAAAAAAGAAACTTCCGAAAAGAGGTCTACGACTTCCTTGTTATTTCATGGGTTATAATAAATAACTGTTTGCTTCTTTTGCGGCTTGTTTTCATAGATTATGGTGGATTTTTGTCTAACATCGAGAAAGGGGAATTGATCACGTACTGTTATAATTATATTTAACATATGTCTTACCTTACATCGTGTCAAATTTATTATACCTTAAATTTAGCTCTCTGCCTCGTTTATAAATCGTTTTATTTTTTTGTCTGTTAAAAATTTTAATTAACTTTTTATTATAAAATATTTCATAATTTATTGAAGAATAATATAAGAGGAAGATTAAATATTTCAACAAAATGATTTTTACGTATATTAAAAGCTTAATAACGTTTCAATTAATTCATATATATATATAAATATAATACACATTTTTCTATTCAAATTTAAAACACAAAATTAAAAAGTAGAATTAATTAAATATACAAAAGTTTTTGTTTGTAAGAGGCTCAAAACTTTTCAATTCACCCTTGCATAAATATTAGATTAGATAAAATAGAAAAAAGAAATAAAAATAGAAAGAAAAAAAGAGTGAACGGAGATGAACACAAATGGAAACGCAAATATATTTTATTTGAACAAATCGTATTATAATAAAAAAAATAAACCAAAAAATAAAAACAGAAGATTTAAACAGTCTATTTTTAAATATATATATATCTGTCCCTGTACACACACACAGAATCTGTTACAAACATCTCTCTTTAGTAAAAAGATTTTTGTACATGTGTTTTGCATATCGGTGAAAATCTCAATTTCATATTATCATCATCATCATTATCATTATCATTATTATTATCATTATTATTATAATATATATAAGGAGATTCTAATTGCATTAATTATAATATTAAATATAATACGTGATATATAAATACATATAAGAGGGTAGGTTGAAAAGTTTTTAGCCTATTCTTTCTATAAAAAAAAAAGAAAAAGAAAACTTTTGAAATTGTTTCTATGTTAAGCTGAAAACTTTTCAACCTACCCACTAAATACATACGATTGTGAAAATTATATGATCGTAATTAGCGTAGATAATAACGCGAATGGATTTATTTCATTGTCATTATATAATATTACTATTATTATTATAATTATGGGAAGTTTTTAAGCTTCTTAATTCCAAATTTTCATTTTAATTGATCTTAAAGGCACGCTTCCATCTAATCTAATCAATATAGGAAGCTAATCGAAAAAACTATTATATATATATATATTATTATTATTCTATATAAAGGATAAAATTACGTGAAAACAAATTTTTATATATTCTTATACATGCACGTACGCACGCACGCACATACACACCGCACATGCGAAACGATACGCGAATAAACGTCATTGTTTAATTATTTAATTATTTTTTTGGACGATCAAGTACACGTTCGTTTAAATATATATATATATATTTCTTTTATAACAAAAACGAATTAAATTTCCAATTATTTTACTTGCTTATTCGTTTGTTAATATTTGATATAAAGTAT